GGTTCTTTACCATCTGAGCCACCAGTGAACCTTGTCCCTGATGAAATGACAACCCTATAGGCAAAGCAGCACCAAGTTAAATGTGTTCCACCTAAAGATTTTGTCCTTTTTTTCTAAAATTATGCCCTTCCTCCCTCTCTGGTGCTAAATATCCTTTTCAGGTGATGTTGAGAATGTGGGTGATTTCTTTAAATGAACTTGTGTGAGGAAGTAGAAAGTTGGCAGACTCAGGCCCCAATGGTTGGTTATTCACTCCTCTGTGGACTCCAAGTATTTCATTTATTTTTTATTAATTTATACTGGAGTATAGTTGTATTTTTTAAATTAACTTTTATTACAAGCATTTTAGAACTAGTATTCCAAAGACTGGAATACTGGATTGATCCCCTCACTCTGACATAGGCAGGACTTGAACCCAGGAATGAATGCCTCCCACCAAGTCAACAGTCCTTCTACCAGGAGACAGGAGTCCAGACCTACCCCAATTCTTCAATACTGAGGTGCTGTGTGACCATGGGAGACACAGTCACCCTCTCTGAACCTCTAGTTCCTCATCTCTGTGCTGTGCTTCATCATTCAGTCATGTCCAACTCTTTGAGACCCATTGGACTGTAGCCCACCAGGATCCCCTGGCCATAGGATTTTTCAGGCAAGGATACTGGAGTAGTTGCCATTTCCTTCTCCAGGAGATCTTCCCCACACAGGACTGAACCCACGTCCTCTGTGTTTCCTGTATTGCAGGCAGATTCTTTATCTGCTGAGCCATCAGGGAAGCATCTCTAAGCAGAGCTAACAATCCATGCCTTCTCTCCCTTAGAATGAGAGGAGTAAATGCTCATAATTCACACCTCAAGAAGCGAGGACTCCTGGGGCAGGAGGGGTTCTCCTTAGCCCAGACCCTCCATCTCCCAGCATCTCACTCTGGTCCCATGTGCTTGGACTGCCAGACCAGGGACTTCCATCCCAAGGGATATGCCTTGTTAATTCTTCCTACTCCCAACCCCGAGCTTGGTGCTCAGTCAATGCTGTCGTCATCTGCTGGGCTGAATTACAAGCTTCTCTTGCTTCTCCCACCAGACACGAGGCTCCTTGAGGCCATGGACCCTGTGCCTGACTCCTAGTCATGGCTAGATTCTGAAGGATGGCTTTTCTCAAGGTGGTGTGTTATTTTAGTTCACACCAAACCCTATGAGGTTATCTCTCAGTGTTCTTATCCCCACTTTACAGATAAGGAAACTAAGGCTGGGGCAGGTGGCCATCTTGCCCCCAGGTCTCCCGCTACCCAGAGGGGCCAGGATTCAAGTTCCAGCTTCTATCTGCAGAGTCGTGTGCTGAACCAATTAACGTCAATGAGAAGGATACCTGTTCTTCATTTCATTGTATAATCTGGCAGGTTCATCCCTCTGCTGGTCCTAGTAAACCCATCTCCTGACAGTTGGGTGGTTTTCCCCAAAGCATTTGCTCAGGCCAGCTACGCATAAAGTTTCCATACTCCATGCATGGCTTGTCTACTATAATGGTGATTGCTTGGGTGGCCAAAAGGAAAGCTCCCACAGCAGGAAATTGCCCAGGGGAATTATTTATGCAAGCTCATTAGCCCTGGGCTAAGGGACAGGAAGTGGTGAGTGAGCTCCAGTCCCCTGTAAAGAGATACTCAGCTCTGGCTCATACTAGCTGTGTGTCCTTGAGTAAGTCACTTGCCCTCTCTGGGCAAAGGAGGCAATTTAAATGCATGTTCCTCCTAAACGGCCTTACCATGTAATAATAACAGAGATGGAGAATGTGGTTTCTAGGGTCAGAAAGACTGGGTTCAAGTCTTGGCCTTGCCTCACCTTGACCTCTGACGTCCCTTTACTTCCCTGAGGGAAGCTTTCCTTCTTCACTGAGCAGCCTCTGGGGACTGCAGTGAACAGGGGTAGGTAGGCAGGCAGGTTGTTGATAAACTGACAGTCTCTTATGCAGGTGCGTAACCATCATCACTATCATTATTATTTCCGGAGCCTCTGTCTCCAGGCTTTCTGAGCACGATGTCCGCGGCTCCCTCCAGCAATGGCGTGTTTGTCGTCATCCCACCCAGCAACGCCAGCGGCCTCCGCCCGCCCCCAGCCATCCTGCCCACCTCCCTGCGCCAGCCTCCGGGGATCATGCAATACGAGGAGCCGCCGCTGGGGGCGCAGACACCGCGGGTCACCCAGCCATCAGACCTGCNGCAGCATCAGTGAGGACTTGAGGATACAGCCACGCACCAGGCAGACAAGGACCATTCTGCAGCACTCACAGAGAGTAAACCAGTGAACAAATGACTGAAATAACTCCAAATAAGGCAGTGAGGTAAAAAATGATCATGGGGGAGGGGCAACACTAGCAAAGATGGACAGAGAGGTCTGTCTGGGGAGATGACATTGTAGCTAATAATCTAGATGCTGGGCTGAAGCCAGCCAAGTGAGGGGACAGAGACTGGCTCATCAGGTAGAGGAAACAGCAAGTGCAGAGGCCCTGAGGTGGCTTGTTCAAGGACAAAATAGAAAGTAGACATGGCTAGAAGGTGATGAGCAGAGGAAGGAGGGAGGTGAGGTGAAGCTGAAGTGGTAGCAAGGCCAGCTCTTGGCTCCTGAAGGGCTGACGGTCCAACCTCAGATAGCCTTGAGATATTGATCTCTTGGAGGGAGATCAGTAGATAGACAGATAGATAGATACACATATTTATCTATGTATTACATGCGGAGGGTCTTCAGCTTGTCCCTCAGCCTCGGTTTGTCCTCGTGGAAGAGGAAAACATAGTTTAATTGATGATGATGGTGGTGATGACCACAGTGATGACAGCTCTCATTTACTGAGTGCCCCCGAGAGGTGCGCACACTGGGCCAAGGAATTTGCACGCATAGTCTCCTTAGAGTCTCATCACCACTTGTGAGACAGGGGTCATAGTTCCCACTGGACAGGTTAGGGAGCTTAGGTTCATCAAAGCCAAGCCGCTGGCCCAAGGCTCGGGCTTGAATATGCTGGAACTTAGGAGCCTAAAGGCTGCACCAACTCCACTGGGGCAGGAATGAACTAGAAGCAGTGGACAAAGATGGTGGATCCATTGCTGGAGACTGGAAATCTCAGACCAGACTCTGGGAAACAATGACCCCCAAAGGGCCTTGCTGAGACAAATGAAAATTGCTGAAAAATATAAAAAGGAGAAACTATAGATAGGTTCTAGGGAGTGTCAGCCAGGGAGAATACTGGCTTTAGAATTAGTTGGCCTGCCACTTCCTAGCTGGGAGACCTCACACAAATTACTGAATATCTCTGAACCTCATTTTCCTCATTTATGAAATCAAGATAATAATTTTAGGATACCTACCTCATCACATTAGGGTTAAAAGAGATAATGTCTTTAAAACACCCAGCACATCGCTTAGTGTAGACAGGCATTCGGTAAGTGGCAGCCGGTGTCTTACGAGGAGTAACTGGAATAGCAGTGTTGATCCAATAGCAGGGGAAGGACCCGAGGAGGAGAGTGGCCTTGGCAGCTGGGACGTGATGCTCCATAAGTGCACAGAAAAGATGGAAGACATGTGACCGAAGAGAGAAGGAAAGAGAGGATTCAAAGGGTCACGCCTTTAAATGTACAAATGCTTGGCTGTCATGTTAGGAAAACATGTAAATAGCACATGATCCTAAGATATGATTCTACAGCCTGAACTGCCCATAAATGGACCACAGTGAGCACCTCATCACTAAGGGAGTCCATTTAGAAGTCAGGAGATGGACAGGACTCCTGGATTAGGATCTTCCCTAGTAGCTCCGTCAGTAAAGAATCTGCCTGCAATGCAGGAGATCCGGGTTCGATTCCAGGGTCGGAAAGATCCCCTGGAGGAGGAAATGGCAACCCACTCCAGTATTCTTGCCTGGAGAATCCCATCGACAGGGAGCCTGGCAGACTATAGTCCATGGGGTCGTAAGAGTTGGACACGACTTAGTGACTAAACCACCACCACCACCACACAGATTAGACAGAGGCTGAGTTCAGGGGCCATCAATGTCCCTTTCCACACAGTTCTAGATTCAGTTGTTACCAAAACCATTTGGAAAACAGGGACTTCCCTGGTGGTTCAGTGGTTAAGAATCTGCCTTGCAAGGCAGGTGGATGAGGGATCAATTCCTGGTCGGGGAAGTAAGATCTCACAGCCTGCCTGCTGCAACTACTGAGGCTTGTGCACTTTGCAGCCTGCATGCTCCAACTAGAGAATCCATGCTGCGTGATGAAGGATCCTGTGTGCCTCAACCAAGACCCAAAGCAGCCAAATAAATAAATACTTTAAAACAAATGAACAAAACAAAAAGAAAAAAAAAACCCACTTAGAAAGAAATGTGGCATCATGAATCAGAAGCCCCCATTGTTCTCATCCTTAGGAAAACCATCCTGCTTCTGAGAATGGATCAATGAGGTGCTGGGAAACTACTCCTTTAATTAATTGATTAACTAATCAATATAAAACCTAAGTCCAGATTCCAGGTGGTAGGCGGCAGCTCCTGCACGTGACTGGGATGCATCAATGGCACTCCACTGAGAAAAACACTCGAGGAGATATCTGTGCAGGCTGCAGGGGCACAAGGAAGGACGCGGTGAGGCAGTCAGCGCAGGGATTGCTGAGCCATTGACATGAGGGCTAAGAGACCAAGTAGAAACACAGGATGCTTGAGACCTGGTCAGAGCAAAAGGCAAACCCGTGGAGACATGGAAACAGAAGGGTGGGTCCTGAAAGCTGTGGGGAACTGGCTTTCCATCTTAAAATACCGTGTCTTTTACAGTTGTTATAATGATGTCTCCTTAAAAGAAGGCAATCTGAGTTCATTTCCGAGTCGCTGAGGGTTCAAAGCGGGACTGCAGGGCCCTGCCACGCTCTCCTCTGCGCCCGGTAGGGGGCGGTGTGGAGCCCGCCGCGCCCGCCTGGCTGAGCCGCCGTCTGCTCCCCGCAGACCGTCCAGATTCTCATCGGCCTTATCCACCTGGGCTTCGGTGGCGTGCTGCTCATGGTGCGCCGCGGCCACGTGGGGATGCTCTTCATCGAAGGCGGCGTCCCCTTCTGGGGAGGAGCCTGCGTGAGTGCCGGGGCCATCTGGGCGGGGGGCTGTGCCCAGGCTCACCCTCCACTTCATTCTCCTAGGCACAGCGGCTCCTGGGTGGGGGCCTGAGCCTAAATCTAACTCCCAGCCGCAAGCCCTAATCATTACCTGACCCAGACCCCACTCCTGTGTGTGAAAAGCTCCCAGCATAGAGCTTAGCCTGCTCCCCGCCAAAAGGATGGAATGAAGGGGATGAAGGCAGGGGATAAGGACACAAAACACCTGTAGTTACCCGGCCTCCATCCTTCAAACTTCTAAGCATTCTTGTTTATTTGCTAAGTATCCATCTTCCCAAATTAGAATAGAAGCCTCAGGAGGGCAGAGATCTTGTCTGTCTTATTCAACTCTGCTAGGATCTTGCCACATGCCTGCTGCTCAGGAAATGTCTGATGAGTGAATGTCTGAAGGAGCAATGCCTTCCCTACTGATGATACAATGTCAATGAAAACATTCATCTTTCAAGCCATGGCCCTAGTTCCCTGGACAGGGGCCCGTAGTAACCATGGGATACCCTCACAGAGCGATCTTAAGTGCCTGGCCAGGAGGCCAAGAAGGTGGCATCCAGAAGGCTGCTGGCCTTTCCCTGATACCCACGGCCTTGATAGTGCCAGGCATGGTGTGCCCTGCCCAGTGTCCCGGCTGAAGCCTCACTAGGACACCCACTTCCCCACACAGTTCATCATCTCGGGGTCCCTCTCAGTGGCAGCCGAGAAGAACCACACCAGTTGCCTGGTAAGTTTGAGTGGGAGACCCAGGGGTGAGAGTGGGGCTGCAGCCAGCTCCACTCTGCCCTGCCTCCAAAGACTCCCTCACCACACACTCCACAGCGGGCTGCTGGAGGCCAGGCATGGGGTAACACCCAGACAGCCAGACACAGTCCCTGCCCTGCCTGCAGGAGAGAAGAAACCAAGACGCACTTTCAAAATACCATAAGAGGCAGAAAGCGAGGGTCTGCAGATGAAGTGCTCATGGCCCAGAGACAAGGACAAGGCAAAAAGCCCTCCTGAGCAGGATATGGCTGATCTGGGCCTTGGTGGGCATGTAGGAATCCTGAAGGAAGATCATGAGGATGCAAGGATGGAGTATGGGCAGGGTCACTGTGGAAACTATGTGTGACTCCATTTGACCGGGGCAAAAGTCTTGGAAGGGAAGTGCAGAGAAGTTAGCGATGCACTGGGTCGACATCTCAGACAGCTCCATGCCTTCTGCGGGTGACTGGGTGGGGAAGGCAGGGGGCGATGGAGGCTTTGGATGGGAGAGTGTTGAGCATCGCACCAGAGTCAAGTCCCTGCCCTCATGGAGCTTACATTCTAATGTCTGGTAAGACACCCCCAACCCCTGCCTAAACACACACACACACACACACACACACACACACACACACACACACAGATAAGGTCTTTACAGAGTGAAAAGTGCTGAACAAAGCCCCAGTATAATGTGAGGGGTTCCGCTCAACTGGGAGAGCAGTCTTTGAGCAGGTGTTGCTGAGCTCATTATTCAGAGGGCAGCAGCCATACAAAAGCCTGGAGACCAGTATCCCAGGCTGGAGGGTGGACAAGGGGCCAGGTCTTTGGATTACAGCAAACCAGGGGCTGAGAGGGAGGAACTAAGCTGAGCGGGAAAGGTGGGGAGACACTCGCGAGTGGAGTCAAGTTGAAGGGCAGTGGGAGGCCACAGAGGTTGGAGCCCAGGGTGGAGGTGGGGGGAAGTGAAAGTGTTAGTCGCTCAGTTGGACTGTAGGCCACAAGTCTCCTCCATCCATTGAATTCTCCAGGCAAGAATACTGGAGTGGGTTGCCATTCCCTTCTCCAGGGGATCTACCCCACTTAGGAATTAAACGTGGGTCTCCTGCATTGCAGGCAGATCTTTTACTGTCTGAGCCACCAGGGGCAGGAGAATCAGTGCTCTTTTTTCACTCCTGAGAGCTGCTGGGTGGAGAATGGATTTAATAGGACAGGACTGGACACAGGGAACCCTCAGAATCAAACTTATATCCGCCCCCCCCCGCCCCCAGCTCAGGCTGTAAAGTCTGGATGGGGGTGGGGAGAGAGAGCTGAATTACTCTGCCCCATGCTCACAGCATCCTGGACAGTGCCTGGCAGGCACCAGGTGCTCAACAGAAGTTTGCAGGATTCATTCATCAGTTAATTGATTACGTGTGAGGCTGCTCTGATCTCAACGACCTCCTCCCTGTCATCCAAAAAAAGAGGAGTTGGGGTCTTTGAACCTGAGCAAATTCTGCAGTCCCCAGTCCACCCATGAGTGGTGCCCACTTTAAGGCTAGGGCTGTTTAACCAGAAGGCTTCAGCTAGTGGGTCAAAAGAGCATCAGGTTCCAGCAGCATGGGGAGGGTGACCCCTGAGCCATCGCCTGGACCACCCAGGGGTCCATTTGTCCCAAGTCCGGAGCCTCCAGATGATGGCGAGGCCCAGACCTCCACCGCACCCCCCCCCCCAACCTCAGGCTCACAGCCCGTGAGTCTCCCCTGCCTGGCGCCCCGCAGGCGTCTGCAGTGCTTGCTCTGCCAACCCCTGCCTGGAACCATGTGGAACTGACCCCAACACCTCTCCCAACCTCAGTGTCCACAGCAGAGGGCCTCCCCCGCCCCCTGCCCGTGGGGTAGCTGCACTATCAGGATGCTCGGCCTGAGGGGTGGAGCATAGTAATGAGTGGGCAAGGAGACTCTGCAGACCCCACCTAGGGAGGCCATGAAGGAGGTCAGGCCCCTTTCCCAGAAGCTTCTGAGAAGACGATTCAAGTAAGGGCGGGGGAGTGGCCAGCAGGACCATTAGCCTGAGGTCCCCGGGGAAGGACAGGAGGAAAGGAGAAGGTCAAGGAGGACGCAGGTACGGGCATGGGTGTGAGGTCCCAGGGGGCCATGGGAGGCCTGGTGTGGGAGGCTCCTGTCCCTCCTCCTCCTCCCGCCTCCCCTCTCCCCTCCTTCCCCTCCATTTCTACCCCTGCAGGTGAGGAGCAGTCTGGGGACCAACATTCTCAGCGCCATGGCGGCCTTTGCAGGGACGGCCATTCTGCTCATGGATTTTGGTGTCACTAACTGGGTGTGTTGTCTGAACGTCCCCAGCAGTGGGAAAACTTGAAGAGTAACAGCCACATCCAGGAGGAGGCAGGGGTGGGGGGGAAGGGAGGTTGTAGGGCCCTGGGCATCAGCAGAGCCTGCCAATCCCAAGAGACCCCCAAGTGTATATGGACCCCAGGACTCGACCTCAAGGGTGGGCGTAGTGGAGGGTGGGGGGCGGGTCGCAGAGAAGCAATCTGGAGTTCAAGGGAGAGTAGGCATCTCGCAGCAGGGAGACCCGCTCCAGCTCTGCCATCGGCTGGCTGTGTGACCTGGGGCACGTTATTCTGGCTCGCTCTGGGCCCTCTTTCCTCCTCTGTTCTAGAATTCTTGGCTGGCCTTGACTGTGGGTTTTGGTCCCCAGGATGTAGGCAGGGGCTATCTGGCCGTGCTTACCATCTTCACCATACTGGAGTTCTTCATTGCGGTCACTGCCACCCACTTTGGGTGCCAAGCCACTCGCGCCCAAGCCCACGCGGTGAGTGCCTCACCCCTCCCCACCCCCGGCCCTTCAAAGAATGCCCCACTAGTACATCCGTACATTCGGGAACTCAAAGGTGTTTCTGCGGGGAGGTTTTCCTCGTGGCCACAGGGGCACGCCAGCATCAAGGGACTCGCTGCTCTGTGCGACCGCTCGTGGAGCCCTGGAAGGCAGGCGCTGGGGACGAGGAGGATGGCTGTCGGGGATGAGTGGGACCCTCCAGAAGTTCACGGGTCAAGAGACGTGGGCATCAGAAAGGGCAGCACGACTCGGGTGGGCATTGACCTCCGTGTTCCCCAAACTGGAGGACAGCGCAGACAGAGAGGGGAAGGAGGAAGGGCCTTCGTGGCAAGGGAACCAGTTGGAAGTCAGCCTTCGCGGAAACAAACATGCAGGTCATAGTGTGGGCGGGGGCGGGGTGGGGTCCCGCTCGGGAGGTGGATTTGTGCAAAACGGGGTGTGGAGCTGTTGAAAGTCTGAGCAGAGGCCTGTACGCCAAGAGGCGAGGGTGAGTAGAGTGGGGCTCAGGGAAATCAATCTAGAGGGTTTGCCCACTGCGGGGGCGGGGAGCGGGGCGGAGCGGTAGGGGTTGGAGGCAGTGAAGCCGCCGCGAAGAGGCTACGAGGATGCTGGCGCTGTGGTATCCAAGCCTTGAACCAGTGTAGGGCTTGTCCAGAGACAAAGAAATTCAGAACCTTAGTTCCTAGACACATGAGACTCCTGTCGGTTTCGTTGCTGTACCTCCAATGCCCAGATCATAGGTGACCTCAACAAATACTTCTTGGAAATTTAGTTGAACTGATGCCTGGAGCCAATTCATCCTCGGAGCGTTCACTACTTAGGGCGCTGTTCTCACAATACCCACAAGAGGGCACTATTGCAACAGCTCCCCGAAGGCGCCGGAGCTGCCAGGATTGCCTGGGTTTGTTTTCTTTTCCTTTGCAGCCTGTGATTTTCCTGCCGAACGCCTTCGGCACAGACTTCAACATCCCCAGCCCCGCAGCTTCTCCTCCCCCCGCCTACGATAATGTGGCATATATACCCAAGGAGCCTTCAGAGTAGACGGTCGCTCTGGCGGTTGGAGCCCAGCCTCCCTCACTTTCCCCGTCTTCCCGCCTCCCCACGTTCCTCCACCCACCCCACCATCCCGCCATCCTGGGCCCAGCCTCTCCCCAGCCTGGCCTTGGTGATCTGGTGGCTGCCCGCCGCCCCAGTCCTCTCATGTTGTGGTACCGAATGGAGTCCCTGGGGGTGTCTGTCCTACACATTTTCCGCAGTGGTTAATTTCCTTAAAGAGCTAGTTGATGTCAAGGGTGTGTGTCCCTCTGCTCCCTGGGCGCCGCCCTTCATCAGAAAATGCCTCCTGATGCCGCCCTGGATTTCTCTCTACTCATTTTGGAAACCCTGGCCTCACTGGGACATGGGTTCAGGGGCCGTCCTGGCTCTCAGGCCTTGGGACAGTCATTAAGCTCAGAGAACCCAGAATAGGGAGAACTGAGTCCAGCTGCCTAGGTCACAGAGCCAAACGGGGGGGTGGCTTGGCCTCCGGTCACTAGGCCCCAGGACCAGCTCTATAATCTGCTGCCATGTCATCAGGCCTCAGTTCTCCCGCCTGGAAAAGAAAGTGTTGAACCAGATGACATTTAAGACACTTCCAGCTCCCCTGGGCTTCCAGAAGTCTAAAGTCTAAGTCAGGCATGACCCCTGCCCCCAGCTGCCTGCAGAACTGTTTGGAGGCCCTGTTGCCTCAGCCCTGCACACCCTCCCGGGCCAGCCCGTGGCACCCTGGTCAGCATCCACGGGCCGAAGCCGCGGTGGCCGCCTCCCCTGGGAGGCTCAGGGCCTCCCCTAGCCTCTCAGTACTCCCTCTCTCACCCCGATCCCCCGCCCCAGCCTAAGGAGAAAGCCATCTCTGAAGGTATGATGAGTTGGGCTGGGTGTCCAGGCCAAAGGGACAGTTACACCTGGTATTTAGAGGCCCTGGCAGGTGGCTTGTCTCTCATACCACAGAGGGAAATAAACTGTGCTTACAACTTGATCTGGTCTCATAGCAATGACTGTTTTGTTTTTAACTTTGGGGGCTTTAAAGGGTTGTCCCATATTGATCAGGAGACCTGGGGAACTGTCGCACCATCCCAGAAAAAGGGCACCTCTGGATGTTGGGCTCTGTGTGATGTGATCCTCACCCTTGTTCTGTCCCCACCTGAGCTTAACTAAGCAGGCATTCATGTCCCCACTCTACCACTGAAGACAGGGAAACTTGAGGAGGTTAAGTCATGTGCACGGGGCCACCAAGCTAGTAAAAGGCAGTGCCGGGATCTGAACCCAGCTTCATCTGACCTCAGGGTCTGTGCTCTTACCATACAGCTCCCCACAGTCCAAACCCAAGTGCATTCCACCAACTCCTTCCCCTCCCTCCTCCTGTTTCTTCATCCCAGAGACTGGGGCAGGACTGCATGTCTCAGCACCCCGCTTCTTCATTTAACAAACTTCTGCTCCGTCTTCAAAACCCTATTTTAATGTTGCTCCTTCCATGAGGTCTTCCCAAAGGAAGTAGTCAGCTAGATGGCTAAGTGCTAATCAGTCACAGAGTGGGGACGAATGTGGGGTCAGAAGGGTTAGCCCCTTTTAGGGAGTCCCTCCATCCTGGGGTCATGCATGTGAAGATTTGGGTGGGGATCACAGCAGAATTTGGCTTCACAATCAAGAGCAGGGACTTGAGGACATAGAGCTGAGAGTTGAAGACCCCACACTATAAAGTTGGGAGAAATGTGTTGGTATATTTAAGAATGGTTTTCCTGCCACACATAGAGGGGATTAGAGACTTTTCTGAATTGAGGGGAGACGTTTGGGGAGAGGAAGAAGAGAAGGCTTAGCCCCAGGCTGGGATTTTACCATCTCTGTGCCCTGTTAACTAAGTTCCACAGAGATGGGGCCAAAAACCACAGATCAATTAGGAGGAATTAAAGGACTGAAGCTTCTTCAAATCCCACGCTGTAACATGAGGAGACAGCAAGGCCCCTGGAGATGACCCGTGTCCAGACAGCATGGAGCCAGAATGTGTAGTTGAGATGGCCAAGGGCGTGCCTGATGACATTACACAGAGCCCTACACTCCCATGGGGGTATGAGTAAAAGCACTAAAAAGTTTCTGGTGTCCTCCAGGAGAAAGCGCAAGAGGCTAAGAGGGCTCACGTGCAATGTGGGTTGTATGAGACTGAAGCATAACAGTAAATAAGGGTGGAGACAGTGGCCACCATGCAAAACCAGCAAGGAAGATCATGCTTGTGGACTGGAAGTCAGGGGAAGTGACTGAGTTACCTTAACTGGCAAAATTAAGTCCTGCCACTGAGAGAAAATGGGAAGTGACTGAGTTACCATAATTGGCAAAATTAAGTCCTGCCACTAAGAGGAAATGGGAGCTAGAGACATAATTACCAATGAAGCTGAAGAATTCTGAAAATTACTAAAGAGACATTAATGATGATCTAAATAAATGAAGAGCCATACTATATTCATGGATTGGAAAACTCAAAATTTTTTAAAAACGCCATTTATCTCCAAATTTTCCTGTAGACTTTATACATTCCCATTCAAAATTTCAACAGTTTTATCTGGGGAGAAATTGACAAGCTAATTCTAAAGTTCATATGGAAATTCTAAAATATTCATAAGGATCTAAAATATTCAAGAAAACCTTAAAGAAAAACAAAGGTGGAGGACTTAAACTGCCAGATTTCAAAACTTACTATAATGCAATAATAACCAAGACAGCATAGTTTTTAGTGACTAGACAATTAGATCAATGGAGTTCAGAAACAGACCCTCACCTATACAGTTCACTTGACTTATGACCAAGGCTCCACTGCAACTCAATGGACAAAGATAATCTTTTCAGTAAATTTTGCTGAAGCAATTGGATTTGGTTATAGGCAAAAAATGAAACACAATTCCTACATCACATACCATACATAAAAATTAAGTCAAGATGGGTCATAGACCTAAATTTTACAACTTAAAAAGAGTTTCTTTAAAAAAAAAAAAAAAGAAAGAAAGAAAGAAGAAAATATCTTCAGTACTTTGGGATAAGCAAGGATTTTTTCTTTTCTTTTTTTTGCAAGGATTTTTCAAATTGGACACACACACACACACACACACAAACTAATCATAAAAGAAAAGATTTAGAAATTAGTGTTTATTAAAATTAAGAAGTTCTATTTATTAAAAAATACGCATGAAAGTGCTCTACAGACTGAAAAGAGATTTGAAAACACATAATATCTGACAGAGGACTTGAATACAAAATATATAAATAGCTCCTAAAAATAAATAAGAAAAAAGGAGGCAACTTAATTTAAAATGGACAAGGAACCTGCAGAGGCACTCTGCAGAAAAAGATCTCAAAATGACCAATAAGTGTGTTCAACATCTTTAGCCACTGGAAAAATACAAAGTAAAAATCACAAAGAGCTACCCCCAACATGCCAAAATGGCTGAAATTTTAAAAGACTGACTGCTCAGATGTTGATGAATTTGGGGAGCTCACCTTATAGATTGCTGGTGGGAGTATGTTTTGATACCACTTTGGAGGAAAAAAATGTCTCACAGGATGTGTTAAAGCATACAGTATAACCTAACAATTCTGTTGTCGGATGTACACGCAACAGAAGTGAGTGAATATATCTACCAAACCAGACATGTACACAAGTTTGTTATGACAGCTCTACTCATAAAAGGCAAAAACTTGAAACATCTCAAATATTCATCCACAATAGAATAGGTTAGCAAATCATGGTATATTCATTAAAAATCTTCCCTGGATCGAGAAGAACCCCTGGAGAAGGGAATGGCTATCCACTCCAGTATTCTTGCCTGGAGAATTCCATGGATGGAGGGGCCTGGTGGGCTGTAGTCCATGGGGTCATTCCTCTATGCACTGGACTCACCTCTATGAACTCTATACATCCTCTGGGTGATCTTATCCACTGCTCTCACTTCATTTCATGGTTTATTCAGTAGGTGCTTATTGGCTGTGTATCCAGGCTCTGAGGATGACAGACATCAGCAAAATCCCTGATCTCATCTATCCCCATTCTGACCATTCTCAAATCCCTGTCTTCTACCCAACGCTCTCCTCAGAGAGTTTCAGCATCTACTTTCACATTCCACTACAGTGAAACTCACACCATTTATCAATCAATGTTGCTACAGACTTGGCAAAATTTTAGAATCATTCTTAGTTTCTCCTCTGTCTCAGCCCCAGGTGTAATCGTGCTCCACTGATTCTCTTTGTTCTAGCTTTCTCAACTCAGTCCCCATCCATCTTCCTTCCCAGCACCTGTGAACCACCGTCATCTTTCACCTGCATCGTGGCATCAGACTCCTGACTCCTAACCTCTGTCCTCAGACCCAAGCTAGGTCAGCCCATATCTGAACTAGATAACAGCCCAAGAGATTTTAAGTACAAAAGCATTACTGCTCTGCCTAAAGTCAAGTCAGAGCTCTCCTCACCCTCAGGCTAAAGTCTAGATGCTCTTGGAAGGTTTATAGAACCCAGCCCACTCACTTGTGCAGCCTTGACTCTGCCTGCCTTTTCTTACACTTCACACAGCAGCCATACTGAACCTCTGTGACACCCCTCTGTTCCCTGCCTGCCCCCCACTCTCCTATTTGTCCCACTTAGCCTCCAACCCTCCTTCAGACCTCGGTGTAGACACCACTTCCTCCAGGAAGCCTTATGGGCTCATTTTGGGCTCTCAGCAGACCTGCATATCTAGGGTTCCATCCCCGCCCCTCCAAACTATCACCGGTCTCCCTGGTCCTTACCACCATTGCATTATATCAGTTTCCTATCACTGCTGCGACCAATTACTATAGTGGACAGGAAACTGATAGAATGCAATGGTGAAGATGATCAAGGAGACAGATGATAGTCCGGAGGGGCAAGGACAGGACCCTAGATATGCAGGTGTGCTGAGAGCCCAGCACGGAGCCTGTAATGCAGAAGACTCGGGTTTGAATCCTGGATCCGGAAGATCCTCTAGAGAAGGGAATGGCAACCCA